TCAACCTTTTTCATAACAAATGTGGAAGATTACTATTGTTATTTTAAGATACATTAGAATATACAAAATATAAGCGTGCTTAAGCGACCCCAAACCTCTAACTAAAAAATAGATGTGGTTATATTTTCGGAGATGAAACTGCTTGAAATGACAAGGGAATGCATCAGAATGTAATATAAACAAAAGTAGGCACTTATTGAGTTTAAGTAAAACAGTCGAATTATAAAATGAATTACTTCAAATGATGAATTTACAGGTGAAAATACAATTAAAGTGACTATCAAATACGGCAAAACCGTATTTAATTAGCTTATTTTAAAGAATTAAAATATGAAAATATTCTCAAATACGTGCCTGTAAATAGGGCCATGAAGGGTTAGAGTACTCCTCATCTTCTGCCATTTCAGGATCATTGTCTTCTGGACCGAATTTGGTAACTGCTAACGGAGGAAGATATCGAATAGCATTAACCGTGAACATCCGTATAATTTCATTGTACATTGGTTCTGTCAAAGTGAAGTCTTGCGAAGATAGATAGTCTGCCAGCTCTATTAAGGTGAGGCGCTTTAGCTCTAGTAACTTAAGTTGCTTTTGTGAGACGGAAAAGTCAAAAATACGACAGCAAAATCGCAACTTTTCCAAAAACAAAGCTTCTCGGTTCGCCATGGGGGTATCTGATTTTATAGAAAAAGTTTCGGAAATAAAATTAATTCCAAAAGATTAATAAATCAAAGCTAGTTTCAAAAGTTTTTGTCTCATAATAACAGCCTGACTTTACCTTAGAACAGTTCCAAGCTGAAACCGAATCAAGCAAACCAACTAATTTTATTCTTAGATTTTATAAAAACTCCAGAAAAATGAATATGCAAAGGTATAGAATTACCGATTTTTCATTCATACATAATATTAAAAACTACCACCCTATTTCGTTCAATGTGATTAAGGAATAGTATTTGAATTTTCCCACAATGCCTCTCGATTTTATTGCATTTCACATAACTTTGTTTCCAAAGGGTATTATCATCCTCTATTGATCACAGTCTTGACCTCGCCTCTCATTTACATCCACAGCAGGACTTGAATCTGTATGGTGCAGTGTACAATCTCGACATATTGACTACTACGTCGCACTGCCCGAGTTCCATTGGATCAAAAAACGGATGTGCATTTCAAGCAAGGCCAGGCCTTTTTTTCATATCACATTCTGTGGTGGTATTGTCGATTATACACAACTAACAGTTCTTTATTAGCTTAAACGAATTAGGATGAATACATTTTATATTTAAAATGACTGAATTTGTTCATTTTCGTATCCAATGACATTTATTAGCGAGTATAATAGAGCAAACTCAGCCTCAGGTCATTAAGGCTTAATGCTTTTTTTCTTTGGGACTCGAAGAAACACATTTATGTGACTTCCTGATATTATAAGCCTGCCGAATCGAGTCTATGAGCTCTAAGTGTGAAAGCAAATGAGTGGAAAAGGTATTCATATTATAAACAACCATGTACAAATAAACCAGGTAGTTCATCAACTTCTCTATCCTTAAGTCTAGCAATCACGCACCAATAGTTTTTACACAAATTTCTATCTCCCTTATCCATTGATTTTGACGGCCTCTTATTTTTCTCCTATCAGCAGGCATAAACAAAATAATCAGAGAGCTGATAAATTTGAAACCATTCTATTTCATGGCCACACGACAAACACAGAGCAGAAATTAGTCAGCTCAAAAATTTAAATTAGCCAGGAAATTAAGATTATATTTCACCAGAGAAAAGATTACAGAAACAATAGAGAAATAAATGCACAAAAAAACTTTTCAGTCAACTCTGCCACAGTTTTATTTCTATCGTATAAGCACACCAAAAATTGTATTGATTTCAATAAATGTGCTATCCACAAATTAAAGCAAACAATGCCTGCATAGTAGTCTTGTTGTGGTGAGAGTAAGGATTTCAGACGATTAAGCGCTTGAAGGTCAAGTTTCCTTAGACACTACACGAAAACGGCTTCTATTGTTAATACAAAGTACACATCTTGTGACCATCTAGCCATAGGATGAATTGAGTTTCGTCTCAGATGGTAATTACTGATCCATAGTTGCGATCAAAGAGTAAAATGTGAGGGAAATAAAGTCAGAATTATCGTATTATAGAGATAGAAGCAAATTTAAGTACTGGAAGAAAGGTATTCGGTTAAGCAGTTAGTCACTACCTCAATAAAGGTCTGAGAAAGTGGGTATAGAGAGAATTCAGGCCTAAATGTATATGAAGTAAACGTGCGCAATTTGAAAAAATGTAAATAATATCAGTCAGGGTAAACCCTATAAATACAAAGGCATGGTCAGTGGGGCTACTCGAATTATTAAAGTAGAAAAAATGAGACAGGAGATAAAGTAACTCTAGAATGTGTATCCTTTTAATTAATAGAATAATCAATTTACTACACTTCTCCAGCGTCATGCATTTGCGAAATGACTTATGAGCTGTAATTTATTTAAATTATTTCAGCTGGCATCTGTCTTATAGCTTTTAGTTTAAAGACCTGAATGGAAAATTTATCTTAGCGAGTTGTTAGGGAACCAAAAATACGCAAAGCATAAGTTTAGCATTAATCAATCCATCAATTAATATATAAGGATCTAAGCAAAAGAGTTAAATACAATGGATGCCGCGCTTTCATACGTTAAGCAAAGAGATTATAAAGCCAGGAAATCTTTTATAGGATGAATCGAAAAATATTATATCATATCAAAGAGTTTACCTGAGCCAAATTGCCCTTTTAGTATTCACTTCAAGAAATTAATTATAGATGAAACATCCTTGATTTCTTAAGGTGAATAAAGAACTGATATTTCAATTACCAAAAGATGAAATGAGTTGACATCATGATACCCTTGAATTTTAGGCAGCCTTACTCAAAAAGGTCTTTCTCATCCGGGGTTGTTTGTGGAATAGTGATAATGTGTCACCACTTTAGGTACACTACCCGGTTTCGAATCCCATTAGGGGTGTTGATGAAACTGATTTCACTTGTCTTTTTGACGAGTTGTGGCTTGGTGCTGAAACTGGCAAGACTCACTGAAAATTTCATCTATGCTGCTGGTGAGACTTCTAAGAATGTAATAAGTCTACGGTCTGGCATTGGGAATTACGCTAACTACTATAGCAAAGGACTTGGACAAAGTGTGTCCAACTAAGTCGCCCTGACAACAAGACCAAGCTGCGAAAACGAGGTAAACCCACTTCTAAACATCGAAAGGAGACGGCGACCAAACAGAGGGCGTCACTAGTTTGGTCTTTATATCTTCGATAATTATTCTTACCTCTACGGAGGATTTATTGTTATTTAGCGGTCCCGGAAATTCCTAAATAAATTTGGCCTATTAACATTATTGGGGAAACTTTCAGTTCCCATGAAAGTGCATGAAGGAGAGATTCGAAGGTCGATCTCACCAGAAGAGGACGGATGAATCCCGTTGTGCTGCAGCCGTTTGGCTTTGATACGACGCCCAGTTCGACGCGTTACGCGAGACATCCTCCCTCGTTTCGGGTGAAAACGGGCTGAGCTTTCGTGGACTGTGTCAACCTGAATGTCGTAAAAAAGCCAAACGGCTGAGGTACAACGGGATTCATCTGTTTTCTTCTGGTGAAATAGACCAACGAATCTCTTCTTCATGTACTTGCATACGAAATGAAAGTTTCCAGAACTATGTTATCTCAGGAGATTCATGGAAACCCAGTTTCTCTTTGTATTTATAAAAATTAATTAGATAAGCAGGAAAATCGAGCAAAGGCAATCCCTATATTATTGATAGACTTTCATTTCGTATGATACCGTATTACGAAGAGATTCAAAGGTCATTCTGAACAGGAGATGGTCGATTCACGTTGTACTGCAGCCGCTTGGCTTTAACACAACGTTCAGGTTAATGCAGTATAGGAAACATCCTCCTTCGTTTCGAATGAAAACGGGACGAGCCTTCGTCTGCTGAATTTAGCCCAAAAGCAGCAGCTTTCAGTAATTTTATGCATAAAAAGCGTAAGCTTTAATGCATTACCCATCATTTATTATTTAAACTTAAGCTAAAAGGGATTATTTCACTATGAACCTTAGGAAGGCCATAGGCCGCGGAGCCATTGTATCTCTTTGAAGTTGTAAATTCATTTTCCAAATCTCAATTTCACCATTATTAACGTATATCTTCAGGACTTTATGTACTTGATACGAAAGAAAAGTTTCCCTAGCAAAGGTATTTTAGGAGATTCATCAAAACCAAGTTACTGATTTTCCTTATATCAGGTTGCCGAGCACCCAGTTCAAACAATAATTTCTGACTATTTGATAATAACTAAAATATGCAATTTTTTAACTTTATTATAGTTTTTAGCAAAGAAAATAAGTACAAAACATAAAAAGAATAAAAAGATAAAGTTAGCCGTCTTCCAACATTGAGGCCATTGGACAATTCAAGAAAAATCACACTATTATGTACATACTCGTACTTATAAAAGCTAATTCACACTAGAAGTGAGCTGAGCTCGTTTTCGCACCTTAGTCGTGAGGTCAGGGCGACATAGTTGGATACACCTTGCCGGAAGTACTCTGCTATGGTAACTATCGCAATTCCAAGCTTCGCACCGTGGACTTGGTACATTTCAAGATGTCTCGCCGGCATCGTTATCGATATAGTCAGTGAGTCTTGACAAGCTCAACACCAAGCTACAACTCGTCAACGAGACAGGTGAACGCAACCACTTGACCAGCACTCTAATGAACGATTATGATATCGCTCCTCTTTCTGTCCTGGCCAGTCTATCGACGCCCTATTACAACTTCTGACTTGTTTATGTTCCACTCGTCAAAAAGTGTGCTCTTTTTTTGTCGAGTTTAGTTTGGCTTCATCACGCTTGCTGGTTACCTTGCTACCCTCCATCTTTATTTGTTGATGAACTTGGGTCTCTTGTCGGGATCTCCTTTATGGGCCCCTAGATATATTTCTTACCTGTCTAGGTGACTCATTTTACTTGGTTCTAATAAAAGTATACGTTTCACTTAAGGTGCTATTTTTAAAGCCTTTAGAAGCAGGTACACTTTTGCCTCATCGAACAGAGCGCCTATGCTCTGATTCCCATGCTTGCAGATGTCAAGTTTTGTCTCAAAGGGTCATCTCCTTAATTCAGCTCGTGTGCCATGAGCAAACTTTGGATGTATATCACTAGTAGTCTGCTGCCTCTCGAGTGGATCACTAATAAATTTGGTTATAATGTCGAATTCCCGTGACGGTTATGATTATCCGTTTACCTAGACCTGTGACCGCCAGGCACCCAAAGTAGTTTTTCGAGCAGATAACCTCCAGTGAAAACGTCCCCTCTTGATTTTTGAAAGTCCCCCATCCGCTTCTTCTTTGCGATCCCTTTTCCTCTGATTAGCAAATAGTCCCTCTTGCTGATCTTGCAGTATAATTGCTTTCTCCAAATTTGCTTAAGAAATAGGCAAAGTTGTCGCTAATTCTGCCTTCCTCCAATCTCCCGTTTATTAGATTTTTTCCCCTAGGATGTCAAAAGCCTCCCAACTCTTTCGTTTCCTTCTATTTTCACCCTATGAGGCCCTTCTTTCTGTTAACTTCCAGATGATCTCGTGTCTACTATGTACAATGTGTTCTGCTATTTCCGATCTTTCGGTATCCATTTTCCTGAGGACCCTTTGAAATTCCTTGATTCGTATGCTGATTTGCCTCCCACTTTCGTCAATATATTTCAATTTGCACACTCCGAATGCTATGCCGTAAACTCCTGAGTAATCCAATTTGTCCATCTTCTAATGTAGTGTGGGTGGACTTGTGAAGAGTGTTTTTTTATCTCCGTGTTTACCCGAATACTTTATTTTCTTAATATTAGCAGTCGTTTTTGAGTTAGTTCACAGCAAGGTATCCATATCCGCTTTTGCGAGTCGTTCTCGATCATTAGTATTCTTTCATAATCCTACCATCGACTTTTCAGATCCCATATTTTGCTTAATATTCCCCTCCTCGGATATACGTTGCTGAGAAATATCCGAGTCAACGTGGATATGCCTACCTTCCTGCGAACTAACTCAAAAACTGCGGCCACTTTTAAGAAACTGGAATATGCAGGTGAAAACGAAGGAAAAAATAACAATCTTTATTAGTTTGACCATTCAACATCAGAAGGAAGACAAATTGAATTGCTTAAGAGTTTAGAACATAGCATGCGGGGACTGCAAGCAAAAATATATTGGTGAAAAAATGAGAGAAATCAGCATAAAAATCAAGGAGATGATCCTTTAAGCCGATACTTGAAACCTGCAAGCATGGGAATCAGAGCCTAGGCGCTCTGCTCGATAAGGCGACAGTGTACGTGCTTCTAAAAGCTTGAAAAATAGCACGTATACTAGACAAATAAGAAATAGACCTAGGGGCCCATAAAGGAGATCCCGACAAGAGGCCCAAATTTAACAACAAATAAAGATGGAGGGTAGAAAGGTAACCAGCAAGCGTGATGATGCCAAATTAAACTCTACAAAAAAAGAGCACAGTTTTTGAGGAGTGAAACACAAACAAGTCACAAGTTGTATTAGGGCGAGAATGAAATGTGAGGCTAGGGAGTCGATAGAGGGGTCAGGACTGAAACAGGAGCGATAGCATAACCGTTCAGTAGAGGGCTGGTCAAGAGATTGCGTTCACCTGTCTCTTTTGATGAGTTGTAGCTTGGTGTTGAGATTGGCAAGACTCACTGACGATATCGACTACGATGCCGGCGAGACATCTGGGAATATATCAATTCCACGGTGCGACGATGGGAATTGCAATAGTTACCATAGCAGAGTATTTCGGACAAGGTGTATCCAACTATGTCGCCCTGACCTTACGACCAAATTGTGAAAACGAGGCTAAATATCAAAAGAAGTCTGTGACCAAAACAGAGGCCACAACATCTTGATCTTCAGATATATATTTATTTATTTATGCCTACCACTTCGTTTAAGGAGATAAGGGCCTAGTAGTTGAATTTTCCTATAATGCGGTCTGAGTAGGCCACAAGTTTTTAATGGAGTTCACATAGCCTTGCTTTCAAAAGGTATTTTCATCCAGTCTGGACTACAGTCTTGACCTCGCCTGGGCCTCATCAGGACCCACAGCGTGACTTGAATCCGTATAGTGCAGCGTATAATTTCGACACGTCAACCACTAAGCCACACTGTCACGAGTACCCTTGAGTCAACGGGCAGGTGCGAATTTCAAGGAAGGCCAGGCCTTTCCCATATCACTTTTTGTGGTAGGACTTTCAGTAAGGCAATGTTTTATTTGCTATAAAAATCGTCTGCATTACTTGTTTACGTATTAATGTAGGTTTCGGGAATATCAGTAAACCATATGTTTGAGATGTACTAAGCCTATTTCGTGTAAGGACTGCTAATTGAATTTTAGCACAATGGTATGGATAGGCCTCATATTTCCATAAAGCAATGTCAATGAGAAAAACTAAACTAAAAGTTCAAATTAAAAAATTCTTCGAAATATTCTATGCAATTAATAGGCAAAGAAATGCTTATAAAAGATGGAGATAAGCTTATCAGATATTCGATAGCTAAAATGCGACAAATTATCTTATACAACCGCACGTATAAAACAGCATTTATGCTAAATGCAAAAATCCTAAATCCATTCCATTTCAGTTCGGATCTGATGTTCAACTGTGACGCTTCCGCGCCTAATAAGGCTTATAACTTAAAAAAGCCGAAAATAAAAATTACGCTCATTTTCAGTATGCTGTCGGCGCACAAGATGCCTGGTAAATGTTCTAACTTGACTTCTCTATCTTTTATTTACTTTAGGAGACTTGTGGCTGTTGATTAGACGTAATGGTGCTTTAGACTTGTGGGTGGCTATGGTGCCAAACATCAAGCGCAGAACGAAGTTAGAATCACGTTAATTAAGTGAAGCCGGTATGTGACAGTAAAATCTGTGAACAAACACCCCAAAGTTTTTATTCTCTAGCATATAGAGAACTCGTATTAACGTGCTCAAAGGATCCCTTCTGGTCATAAAAGCATTTCGCGATAAATGATACAATAACGCGATTTTAACGCACTATCTTAGCCCTCTTAACGAGTTATGCGAGGTGCTTAGGAGGTTAAATGAAGATATCAGTGATTGTAACCAGAGTTCATTCTGATAACTTAAAGCGTCGTTGCAACATAATAAGCCTGTTCACCAGTACCAAGCTAATCAAAAATACACCAGATTTCATTCATTACAGAAAAACAAAACTTAGTCACTAAAGCAGATCGCCAGAAAACTTTACAAAGCCTAGGCGCTCCGCTCGATGAGACGACAGTGTACGTGTTTCTAAAGGCTTAAAAAATAGAACCTGAGAAATGCACCTACGGGTCAATCTAAAGCGAACTGTTCACATAGGATATGCCCTACTCAAAGATCGGCTTAGTGATAGACCAAAGATGCCATCTTGGCCTGAGAACTGTACGTATCAATAAATCTGTAATCGCATTATGTA